ACAGGTCAATTGACAAATGAATTGGTATAAGCAGGGTTCTATCCAACTATATGGTCAGAAAAAAAAACAAAATTTACATATAGCTTAGGTTATCGAGATACTGGTTTCAAGATTAGCATGAACAACGATTTCGTTCACATATATCATTTTTAACTAAACTACTAAACATTACGTACACTGGTCAAAGATCCATGGTGAATGTATCAATCTGAAAATAATGCTGTTCAAATATACCGTTCACTTCAAAGTGAAATGTACCAATCGATAACGTCAACAAAGTTCTATTGATAAATGAATTATATTAATCAGGTTTTATTCAAGTATATTGCTCAGTTCGAAGCATGATGTCTCACTTGATCACATCAACAAAAATCTCTTGACAAATAAATTGTTATAAGTATTGTTTCATACGAGTATATCACTCACTTCCAGATGAAGTATGTCAGTAGACTAATATATGACAATGTACGTGTAAAATAACTACTTCTAACAAAGACTTTATACCAATATGCCTTTTACTTTAGAAAAATTTCTCATAAACTTAGATAATCCAAAGCTGAAACAGTAAATGAATGACTGTAAGAAGAGTTGTATTCAAATATATCGCTCACTTCAAAATGAAATATATCAGTCGATCACATCAGCAAACATCTCTTGATTAAATGAATCGCTAGAAGTAGAATTGTATTCAAGTATATTGCTCACTTCGAAGTAAAGTGTGTCAACCGATCGCGTCAGAAAAGATCTGTTGGCGAATGAATTGTTATAAGCAAGGTTCCATTCAAGTATATCACTCAATGCGAAATGAAGTATATCGCTCAGTCACATCAGTAAAAATCTTTTTGACAAATGTATTGTTCTAACGAAAGTTTCATTCACGTATATTGCTCAATTCGAAGCAAAGTGTGTCATTCGATCACATAAGCAAAAGTTTCTTGACCGATGAATTATTGTAACCAGGGTTCAATTCAAGTATATCGTTCACTTCGAAATAAAGTGTATCAATCGATCACATCAGCAAAAATTTCTTGACAATGGAATTTTTATAAGTACGGTTCCATTCATGCATATCGCTCAATTCGAAGCGATGTCTCTCACTCGATCATATCAACAAAGATTTCTTAATAAATGAATCACAATAATTAAAATCTTATTCAAGTATATTGCTCAATTCGAAGCGAAGTGTGTTACTCGATTGTGCCAGCAAGGCTCTTTTGATAAATAAATCACAATAACCAAGATTATATTCAAGTATGCCGCTGAATTCGAAGCAAATTGGGTCACTTCATCTGATCAGCAAAGATCTCTTGACAAATGAATTGGTATAAGCAGGATTGTATTCAAGTGTATCGCTTACTTCGAAGTAAAGTGTGTTAATCAATGATATGAGCAAAGATGTCTTGGTAAATGAGTTGTTATCACCAGGATTTGATTCAAGTAAATCGTTCATTTCGAAATAAAGTCTATTAATCGATCATATCAGCAAAGATCTCTCGATAAATGAATTGTTTTAAGAAGAATTCGATTCAAGTATATCGTTCACTTCATAGCGAAGTCTGTTACTCTATTATGTCAGCAAAAACCCATTGACACATGAATCATTATAAAAAGGATCGAATTGAAGTATATCGCCCACTTTGAAGTAAAGCATGTCACTTTATTACGTCAACAAATACCTGTTGACAAATGAATCGAGGTAAACCACAAAATTCTGTTTGAATATCTGACTTGGGTCAAATAACTGACTTGGATGAAAAACATGTTCGCTGAAAAGGAGTCAACTGAATTGTCACTACAAAAGATGTGTTCAAGTATTGGTTACATTACAGGAATATAATATGACTGAACGTGCACTGAAGAAAAATGTAGAATATGAATGGAATGAATAAGTAATTCATTTAGATATCTACCGATGTACCGTAGAACGTGAATATAATATTTTTCGACGGATGGTCTGAAGATATTTGGATATTTTTAAACAAACATCAATTCAACTACACGAGCGGTTGGAAGGAAAACATCACAACTGGTGTTTTCAATGATGATAGCATAATGCATGCACAGTCAGGAGTAAGATTCTATTCGAATATTCAAAATGATTTGAAGTGATCATTCGATATTAATTGATGGACGAAAGTAAACGCTGTACATGGCAGTGTTTTACTTGATACACCTAAATGAATATCATGTGTTATAGTTGAAATAAAAATCTCTTGTACTACACAGTATCTTCGTAGTGCAATGACAAATCGATTTAAGCCCACTTTTGAATTTTTATATAGAATGTTCTTACCATTTTCAAGATGCAGTATAGACTAGGTTTAGAATTTAGAAGAATACAGTTTGAAAATATTGATCTATCAGTTCAAATGAACGGTGACAAGTCCTACTGTGTGGAACTCAGTTCTGAATAATCAATATAAAGTCTAAACTCCGTTGTTTTCAGCTTAGAGTTACTCAGACATAAACTTTCAAGTAAGTAAAAGAAAAGACATATTCTTTGTTCTAGTGTTTTATTGTTGAAGTTTCTTGCCTTTATTTATTGTACTTGACTGAATCTGCTAAAATTCAAATGCATTTTTTCTCTAGCACGACGATCTCATTAAAAAGCTGCATGGAGTATGTGATCGACAAAGCTTATTAGAGAGACAACAGATCGAAACACATAAACTTGATAAATGCGCTTTCAACTTCCCATGGAAGAAAAAAGATCATCGAAAGCATCTTACTAGAATACTACAATAGCTTCGAAGTTGTCAAATAAGCATTTAAAGCTTTCTATTAGAACAAAGGATCCACTTACTACAGCTGAGGAATGAATCTATGACGCTATCGACTGCGACAAAATCCTAGCACTAAACGAGTATATATTGCGTTATCTATGACACTAAAGACTGAAATGATTGATGTGAAACTAGAATGTTGCATCACCTGCATGAAAACGATTATTGACATCATATTAGAGATGGAGAAGAAATACTAAAACTTCTGATTGTATGCGTCAATATTCAGCGATAGCAAAAATAGTGTAAGCATTCAATTTAGATAAGTTCGAGTCTAAGAAAAATATCATGTGGGCAAGAGAAATCAGTAACAGAACCTAAAAGAGTTTGTTTTGGATGGACTGTCTTGTGTACTAGTAGATCTGTTATGCTCCTATTTTTTGAAATACGATTGAAGATTAATGTTTAAAGTATACAGCGAGGAACTTGGACTCATCCGTCCTTCATAGATCATGATAGATAGTATACATTCTTGAATGCCAGAATTTAAATTCTAAAATAAATATTTTTAAATAATTTTTCATTTGACATTTTTCTTAGAGTGTATATAGAATCTACAGAACGATAAATAATTCAATTTGTCTATCTCTCTGCCTGAAACGCGTTTTCTAAGTCACTGTCTATATGAATATAAATTACTGTTTTGTATTTTGTCTCGATTTTTACCACTCTTTAATTTTACTTTGATAGACTGAAAAGTCTTGGATCTAGAGAGTTAATTTTAAAAAGATGTCTATCTTGTGTACGCGTGTGTAAAACAGTCTGTAATTTGCTTTTTAAAGCATTCCTTGTCTAATCTTATGATGTTCGTTACTTTTTTCGAAGTAAAGAATTTTTACATTTTCTACTTTTTGGATTTTTGAATTATGAATACTTCAAAATAATTTCAATCAAAAATACTATCAGTTGATATTAATTTCGAAATCTTTCCTATTCGAATTCGCTGATTTATTAGTTCAATTAGTTCTCAAACTCAAAGGCCTTGATGATTGCAGTTTTTTCCTGAAATATGGCTTTATGAATCTCACTGTAGGTGTGGGTGTCAATCTTCTCGGCATCCATATCTGGACTTATACCCTAATCTCTTTGGCCATATACTAGTTAGCTTCATCATACACTAATTGCTTTAATTATGCCTTGGTTTGTTGGATTCCTGAGAACAAAATAGTGAATATGGATGAAGAGTTGTGTGGATTGTATAGAAGCACTTAAGAAGAAATAATGAAAAATTACTACTCGAAAAAACTTGGTGACCAAAACTATCTTTTTTCCGTGGTCGAAAATGCTACTTCTATTTTGTTTTCTATTGCGAAGACAAAATATAATATTGTTTGGACAGATCCGGGGTTAGCAGACATGCTGTTTTATATCACCCCAGCAACGCCATGTTGAATGCTTATGGGAGTAAAAAAAAAACTCGAAATTCAATGATGTTTGCCTAGTGCAATCACTTAAACTTTCTTATAAGTGAATTAAGTGTTAACCAGAAAGAATTCAAACTTCATATTAAGTGTTAAGTAATAAAGCTTAGCTTAATCTTACGTTAAGTTATATGGTGCAGCCTTCTTCAGAAACTGAATTTTCTAAGGACGAAAAATGTTACTTTCTCACGAGCTACCTTTATCTAACCTGATAGAAACTTGTCAGAATCATCTAACAACAAATTGTTCACCTATTTTCTGTTGTTCTGTAACAACACAAGCCTTATATAAAGAAAAACAGCCTTTCATTCAGATTAAAGAGATTTCATTCACAATGTTCTAGTCAATCCAACAAACCTATTTGATCCAATGGAATCAAAATCCAACTCGAACTTTCAGCATAAGTTCTACAACTTTCTCCATCAATATTTTATATTGAAAGTTGGTTTAGTTATTAAAGAGCTATCTTTTTCTACTACGTCAAAATCCACATAATCTATTAGTAGAAAAGTAGTATCCATCCAATTACAATAACTGCTGGAACTTTAAAAAGGTAAAAACCTTTGAGAATCAGAGAAAAAGATCAAGAAATTGTAACGACTTCATTTTCTCCTAGTTGTGCATAATTATATGAGCTGTGTCGTCTGACATGACTTTTCTCCATTTCTCGAGATACGTCAGGTGTAAGTTCAACTTATTTCAATGACCCTTGTACAATCTGATTTTCAACGATTTTCAGCGATTCAAACCTTTCCTTTAAATCGCTGTAGCTAGCAGTATTTAATTATGTGACCTATTACTTACTGGTACTAGCAATAGTTGTTGTTATTTCTGTATCGGGTGTTGTGTCTGTATCAGATGTTGTGTCTGTATCAGGTGTTGTGTCTGTATTAGGTGTTGTGTCTGCATCAGGTGTTGTGTCTGCATCAGGTGTTGTGTCTGTATCAGGTGTTGTGTCTGTGTCAGATGTTGTGTCTGCATCAGATGTTGTGTCTGTATCAAGTGTTGTGTCTG